TTCTGGCAGGAGCTGCTGGGGACCTTTGAAAACTAAAGATAGAATCAGTTGCGGGGGCGGGGGGGGGGGTGGTCATCTGAAACAAATGTGCAAAGGGAGGAAACTCCAAAAGCCTTAGCATTAAAAGGAGAGACGGAGTGGGGAGATATGAGAACAATGACCATGGAAAGAAAGTGGGTTGGGATTGTCAGTACCCTGTGGCTGGGAGCTATCAGAATCCAACCCACAGGGGAAAGAAGATGTCATTCCATTGTAAGTTACACAGGAGTGGCTGTGGAGGGAATATTGTTGTTTCCAGAATCCTTGGGCTTGAGGCCTGGAGCCAAGCAGAACAATACAAATAATTAAGGGAGTAGTGGAATTAACTTACAGGGAATTCTTTCTGCTTTTCTTCACCTGGTGAGATCAAGTGTAGTATTCATTTCACATCAGATAGGTCTATTATCAGGGAACTGTATCCTGTTCTGGCAAAAGATATCTAGTAGATTTTTTCCATTCCCAACTTCGAGGATGTAACAAATTATGTATAGCTTGGGAAAGCAATGCATTGGGTCTGCTGTGTTAGGGACATATTTAAAGATATCTAAGCTAAATAAACCCCAAGGAAGGAGAATGTATAAAGGATCCATGGACAAAGACAACCGTCGGCGGAGGGGTTGGATTGAATGCGAAAGATGTGGGGAGGGTAGGGCAGGGGAGAGTAATGGGGGGAAAAAAGAGGACAACTGTAACTGAACAACAATAAAAAACTAAAATAAAAAATAAAAATAAAAATATCTAAGACGAATAAACCTCAAGGATGGAAAAGAAATGCAAGGAGATGAGTTACAAAAACAAACAAACAAACAGTAAAAACAAAAGACTGCTTCATTTACATTTATACAGTCTATATAGAGAAGGAAGTCTAACCTTATATCAACTCCAGGCCATCAATGTTAGAATTTTTCTGTGTTTATTATTTCATTAAAAAGTAGCTCATATCCAAAACTAATTTTTAGTGGCAAACACCACACCTAATTTACAGATGGAAAAACTGAATCATTGGGAGGTATTTTATTTGCACCAAACAGAGCAAGTCAGTGAAAGAGACAAGAATATGACTCAATTGTCTGGGAGATGGAATAAGAACAGAGAACTACAAGTATATGTATTTCTTCAAATTCAAGTTAAAGGAATTATTCTTATGGGTATAATTTAGTCTATAATTTGTCCCTCAAATATCACCACCCTACAATTATATTAATGAATCATCTCTAACCATTTATAAGCACTTCTCTGACACTTCCTTCAGATGTACATTAATGACTGGATATTTGACATGTTCTTAGGCTCTGTGGATCCTGTCAATATTTGCTGTCAAAAACCCATCTAGGTTCTTGTTTTCTTAAGTGATGGCTCAAAGATGAAAAAGCATCAAGCCAGTGAGTTAATGGCTCATTTTTCATTGTGGCTTTCCATTGACACCTATTCTGGAATTGTCCATTTGCATGCCCCCAGGCCATTCTTAAAGTGTAAGCCTGCAATTTTAGAGCAAGTGTAGAGAATTTTAGAGTGGCTAGAGCTTTGGTCAAGTGAAAAGAGCTCTTCAGAGAAGGGTATGATAGAGTCAAAGTTCTATCTACACAGTTAGGCAGCTGTGCTTTAGAATCCTGGCTTTTCCTCAAACTGTGAGACCTCAAGAAAATCATCTAATTTTTTTGAGACTCAGTTTCTTCTTCATCAGTAAAATGAAGATGATAGTCTAAACCTCAGAACTTTGTTGTGAGGATGTCGGTATTGTGAAGACTAGGCTAAATATTGGGGTTTTGGGGTGAATTAGGTAGCTTGTAGGAGATGGGCATGGGGGTGTAGTTTCTGTCCCACAACCTCACCGCCTGGTTAAGATGAAAGCTAGTTTCAAACCCAACTCCGCCCCAACACAGGCATTTGTTAAACACATATTCATTAGCTAGCAAGCAAGCAAGCATGAAACCATTTATAGTCTGTTTCTGAGCTTGATGAAGCCTCAGTTCTTTTTCCTTTAAGTACTCCAAATAACTGCCACTTGCAGAAAAGGTTCACGTGAGGCTGGTGGGGATTCTGTTGCCCTTGGTTGGCAGCAGCCAGCTGGAAATCCTCATTATCAATGGCTGGAGACAGGCCTATTTCAGGATCACCTCTCGAGCTCTGTCTCTGAAGATGCAAGCTATAGGCAACAGATTCTTACACTCTGTTCAGCTGGGTGTCTCTAAAATATTTTAGCCAGCCTCCATATCTTAACCTCCTCAATTTCATGAATAAACACCATTTCTAATGCTCATTCCATTATTTCACTTGTTTTTTACATTTCTTCAAGCATTGAGGCCTCGGGGGCTGGTGGAGATATGGCTAACAGGAGCACCCGAAGCCGCGATCCTGGGAATGTCATCTTAGTGATATTTTGCCACCTAGTCACCCCAGGAAGATGAACTAATTAGAGCAATAGATATCCCCAGAGTTGCAGTTTAAACTATATAAAACATCACACTGTCTATGTTAAAGTAGCTTAAAATACATTACAGACATTTTCACAATAGACAGAGCAAAGATTTTTAAGTATATGTCAATACTCATCCACTTAGGGATAACCTCTTTCAATGGCTGTCAGATTGGCTCCCCAAGTGCCGAGGAACTGCTCATGGCCCAGAGCTTTAGGGAAGCAGATGGGGTTCTGGGTTCACTACCACCTCAGCCAGAGCAGCTTCATCTCCACCTAGTTTGCATTTTAGATGTTCTCACAATACTTGAAGGAAGGGTTTCATGGCTAAAGGTTTGAAAACCATTGGTGAAGCCTAACATTCATATTACAAATGGGGAAGATGAAACTCAGAGCAGTTGGCACTTCTTCAGGCACAGACAATCTGTAGGAATTCCTAGCATTGGGCCCTTTTCACTACCATAAGCGATCCCTGCACCATGAAGAGGCTACGTCCATGGGCAAAATCAGTCTCTGAGCAAGAAAAGGTGGTATTCTCATAGCATGTCTTACATTATCCTGGATGATTTTCACACGTTCCTTTACTGAAAACTGCAACCTACTATAGAGACACACACTTGATTAAATGGGTTAGTTTAGCAATCAAATATTTCAGAAACACTGTTAACTAGAACTTGTAGACACAATAAATAGGTCAGTGTAGCAGTGATCTAACCAGTTAACTTTCTCCCAAATAGTCCCTATATCGACTTTTCCTCTCTTTCACCCAAACTGTCTATAGTAGCAGAAATAGTTATTGGTTCAATGGAGATCATGTCCGGTGGATCTTATTTATGTTGTTTTGATCTTATTTCAGGACCCAAATGACGTTTCGTCCAATCTGTGATACTCAATTATAAAATACTATTATTTTATGTCCTGCTAAGAAATAAAACAAACATGCCAATTAAAATGTTAAGATACCACTGCTGTGAAGACACATTCTGATTTCAGAGATATTAAAAGAGCTGCATCTTGGAATTCATGGAGTATACTACCATATTTGCCACCGTATAAGACATATTTCCCCCTTATGCTCTCTCCTCCTTCCACTCTAGGCCACCTGATATTTCTATTAAGCAGAGGAATAGCATAGAAGGATCAGTCTTAGGTTTTCCAAAATGCTTCCCTCCAAAATAGTGCTGCCCTTATGTTTTAATATGTACGGTATATACCGATCAAAAATACTTTTTGGCTTCTAGGCCCTAGGAATGGTGATCTACCTCTCTTCTTAGCCAACACAAACATTTTGGGTCTGTTTCCTTTCTGCGGGATCAGCATTATTCTAGTAGGGAAAGGAGTTTTAAAGCCACTAGGTGGAAAAAGTCACTTCCTGCTTTCAGGAGCAGAACAGACCCACCATGTTGCCTGGACATGGACACTGGATACTCCCTGTGTCTCGAGTGAAACATTTCTCTAGCAACAGAGCTCATATCAAGCAGTTCCAAATGGATCTTACCACACTTCCTAATAATTTTGTTTGGTATGGTACCAAAATCATCCAAACTGTGTCAGAAAACAAAATAGTTTACTCTCCTTGCTCAGGCATCATTTTCATGTATAACATCAAAGTGCAATTTCAACTTTTCAAGCTCACATATCCAATGACTCATAGGGCAATGAATGCTTCCTCTTAAGTGGAAAAAAAATATGTTCTACCTTAACACAAGTTTTAATGCTTGTTTGATATGAGTGATACCTCTGCTTGAAGATGTTTTTAATCTGCATGAAACATTCTTGCCTTTTAATATCAGATGAAATAGGGACAAAAGTCAAATGTGCATATCTCTTCCCCAAGTTCAAATTACTGTGTCAGTATATTCCTTGCATAATTTAATGTTTGGCATAGTTCATGTTTACTAGAAGGTATTTTTGGTTTACTGCAGATGGAGATTAGTACGTTATTTTAATGAAGGACAAGAATCTATGAATTGTGATACCAATAAACTTGACTGTCCAGCACTCTTTTTTACACAATGGTGTGCTGGGAAGAAGGTAGAAAGCTGTTAATTACAGAGACTTAAGGAAGTGCTGAAGAGCCCTAGGATGTTATGGAAAGGAGGAGGGAATTTAGGAGGTATGATTGCTCCCCTCTCATGGCAAATTTGAAGGAACCTGAAGGAGGGCTCAGGTATAGGATGGTTTTTGTGGATGCTATTTCCTCCTTTCCTATCATTATGTGTTCCATCCTCATCCCACAGAGAGAATAATATTAAGCACCACAGGAGGGCAACAGCCAGAACAAGCTCTCTTCAAATTCTTTCCTCGAGTGGAGAATTGTAAAATCACTGCACAGACCTAAGGATGAGTACCAGAAATTTGTAATAAATGGAAGTCAAATTTTCCTTTGCTTATTTTTGTACTGTCATTACAGCAATTTTCTTGAGGTAAAAGCTTTGAAGATGTACTTTTCAGATGCACTTTTCCTCACAGCAATTACTGTCTCAGGATGTCATTACAACTTCTTACTTTTCTTGAGCTCAATCTTCCCTGTTTTCCCTTTTAGGCAAATATCAATATCCCAATGGGAGCTTTTCGGCCAGGGGCTGGGCAACCCCCTAGAAGAAAAGAATGTACTCCGGAAACGGAGGAGGTAAGGACAACTTAGCTGGCAGAGCTCAGCATTGTCTTTCTCCTCCAAAATCCTGGCTAGTGTGGGGGCAGAGGTATGTCGAGGGCTGGCTCTCCAGGGCAAGGGAGGGCACGAATGGAGCCATCACATAGTATATACATTCCTTTGATGTCTTGCTCAGTCAGCCATGAAGCACACTGCCCTTGCGTTCCTTCAGCCAAATTTAAGTGCCTGGCACAGTTATTTGATGATGATGAGTTTAACATGTAGTTTGTTGCTTGATTGTGTGTGTTTGTGGTGTGTGTGTATGAGGGGGTAAAGGAGCATAGCCTCTCTGATGCTCTTGGTCCACAACAGTCACTAGTTTGGTAAGTTTTCACTCTGAAGCTTTTATCAAACTAAACATAATGCATTTAGTACAGCATCGGATGAATAATGAACTCCACAGGGAACACAGGTAATAAGTGCATTAAATTACTTGTGGATTAAATAAAAGCTCCAATCTCTGAGTATTTCCTTGCAAAAGAGGACTTTACAAAAAAATCTATCAATTTCTGTATTTTTTCCTCCCTCTGATTCTTTACCTTTCCTCCAAATACAAATACCTGGTCTTCTAAAATGGGGGCTAAAATTAACAATGAATATAATAAGTACAGAAAAGTTTCTTCCCCAAATGTTTATATTTCATCCCCAACTGTGACTTTTCTAATAGAACCTGGAAGGTCTGATTCATAATTAAGGTTTTGGAGCATGTCATTAGCACAAGACAAGGAACACGGAATTAAATGAAGCCATATGATGTAGCAAACTGTGTTTTATCTTTTTTAAGGGGCGAAAAGGCGGTTTTTACCTTTTGTAGGTGACATTTTTGGTAATTGCCCCAAAAGAACACCTATCATCATTTCAAAGTTTCCTAATAACACTTTGGTTGTCCCTCATCTAACCCTTCTTTCCTCCATAAATAATTTCTAACACTGTCCAGAGTTAGTGGTCCAGCCTCCTATCAATAGAAAGATAATTTTTGAAGGAGGAGATGGAGTATTTGAGTGATATCACAAAATTATGGAATTTCAGCAGTTAAATCACCTTTGATGAGTAAAATTTTGAGCATACAAGTTGAAAGGATCCAACCCTAACCTTTTTCTTATGGTGCATAATCTCCAGCTCCGATGCTGCTAACTTGGCCATCCAGTTAACTCATGATCATGAGCTCTTGCTCTGGGATTTTGGTCAAGTATTTCTGAGTCTATGTCTGCAAAATACGATCCCCTCCATTCCTTTCAGGGTCACTGTGAGGAGAGAGTTGGTGATATGAGAGACATGGCATAGCCTAGCAGGTATTCAATAAATAATTGTTCAATCGATCTGTTTATCCAATTTTCATGAAGTACTCCTAGGCCTATTATTTTGCATGTTGTAAGAAAAAGGCATGGGGAGGCAGAAGGGTGGGCAGTGAATTTTTCCTAATTGGATTTTCTTCCTGTGCTTCCTCTAAAGCTGTGACTGTCACTTCCGTGGTAATCACTTGGAAGGGAGATAGACCTTATCTCACTAAATTGACGGATGTAACAGTTGTTTTGGAGGCTTACATTTCAGATTCCCTCTGTGGTACAGATGGCCTTCTCCTCCATGTGGCCCAGTTAGTGGCTTGGGGAAGCACTGTGCTCTCACTCCTACCTTGTCCCCAATATGATGGTTCAAGCACATTGTAAAATAGCCAAAACTGATACAACCTGGTTTGTGAACTACTTTATGACCAGCCACATATACAGGTGGCCAACCAGTATTTTTTGTAGGATGGACAGGAGTGAGGTCTCCACAGAAAGCTCAGGAGTGTTTCATGAACTGAGCTACACCTTTCTCCTGGGACTCATGGGCTGGGAGGGTGGAATTAGGGGTTATATTCCCTCATTGTAAGAGCAGAAATGATCTCTCAAGACTTTTAGGGTCTTAGGGAAGGGCAGAAAGTAATGCCTCAAACTCTGGGCTGGATCGTAGAATAAATTTCTCACAGAAACAACAGTGGAAGGGGAGAAGTTAGGTAGCTTGGCTTGGCTACAAGGTGTGTTTAGTAGGATTTTGTGAGCTTGCTTGAGGCCCCAGTCACTTTTTTTTTTTTTTGGACATAGTTTGATTGGGAAAGTAAAATCCAAATTCCAAATAACATACAGGCACATTTTTTAGTATTATCTAGTATGTAAATTTGGAATTGCTTGCCTTCTTAGACTTGGGATTCCTTACCTAGCCTTTCATTATGATAATCACTGGGTAAAGCAGAGATCATAAGATAAAATCCCTGAACAAAGAGGCTACCTCTATCACAGCCTGTAGTTTCCCCATCTCAATCCTGATACCATCTCAGCTGTCAAGAAAAGGACATACCCCAGCAGGAAGCCAGGACCAGCCTTTGGCTGGCTGACAAGGCCTGTGAGCACTGGCTAGGTCTCCAGGCCCACATGGTCTCTGAGAGCCCTTTCCTCTGCTCTCAGAGCTGGGGTGCACCCTCCATCTGCTTGGCCTGGCCAGAGTTTGGCATATGCCTGACACAGGCCTAACAGCCAAATCCTAATAAGCATGGCCGGTCTTTTCCATAAGACAAGGCAGTTGCTTGCCTGAAGTGATTTGAAAGGTATTGACAAGCCCTACTCTGCCTCCCAAGTCTCTCTTTTGACTGAAATGCCATCACTTTTAATCCAGAAAATAGCATGCTGTGATTTTCTGTTAATTACTTCCCTCTCCATCTGGTCCCTTTACAAGATGCAAATACACTATTTGATTCTGGTTCCACCACATCCTGGCTGCGTGGACATTGTGCCTCAGTTTCCTCAACTGTAAAATAGGGATAACAACAGTACCATATTTATAGGTTGATGTGAGGATTAGATGAGTTAGTATGTGTAACTTAGAACAGCCAGCAGTGTGTTTGCTGTTATTATTAAGTCTGCAGTGTCGGAACATGAAGGAGCACATCAGACTGCATTGTCCCACACAGGAGAGTTTAGGGAAAAACCCAGTATGGCATCTGGTCTCGAGGGCCAGATAGTTGGAAAATGGTTCAGCATTGTGCCAAATTTTAAAAATACTTCATCACCCTCAAAGGGACTATCTCCCTTGACAATAGCCATTCCTGAAACTGGAAATGATCTGGGGCTGATAAACCTTCTTTCCAGCTCTTTTTTTATCTAAACCAAGCAATGCCTTCCATGTCCCTTCTCAATTCAAATATCTACTTACAAAAAAAGGAGGAAAATGTACTTATTAGTCAAATGGAGCCAACTGGAACCCTGTTTGTTCATGCCTTAATCTATTATAATTCTTATAGTAACAAATTCATAGATTGCCATTATTTTTAAAAGATGAAAGAAGATTCAGTTAAGAATATGCATCATCACTAAAACCTTTCCTGAATTAATATCATATCTACTTATTAAATATATCTACTTATAATTTTCACTGTGTCACCTTAGCAAATCAAATACTAAAAGTCTTACCTTGATAAATAAAAATCACAGTGCACTGAAGTTTTAATAACTTGAGAGGAAAGTGACTAGTATTAAATATTTTCATCCTGTATGTGTATATTCATATAATAAACTTTTGCACATAGACACATAACTATAAACATTGGCTTTAGGTGTTAAATGTGTCAATACAGCATAGTTTGATATTACAAAGACAGTGAATGTGACTTACCTGGGAACCTAACAGAAGGAATTGGGAATATTTTTCTTCTTCATGCTTCTTTATTAAGATTTATCCACGTAAAAACCATGGGAACATTTATAAGTGAGGAAACATTTTTCATTTCACTGCTACAGATATTTAAAAAAATCTAAACATTTTATAGCCTTGTTTAAAATTTTTGAAAAGCTTAGCAAAGAACATTTTGGAATACTTGATCCTCCAAGTGGAGGTTTAGCAGCTTTAATTATTGCTTCTAAACCTGCATTTATAAATGATGAATGTGTGTGCGTGCAAGGAAGCTGATCCTATGGCTCTGTACATTGACCCAGGGGAAAATATTTTCTAGATATTTACAGCAGCCACAGTCTACACTGAATTACTTTATCATTTTGTGCAGCTGACATGTTAGCTAGTTCATCACCACTGTGCCAGAGTCAAAGAAAATGACTCTAGGAAAAAGAAACCCATTAGCCCTTCATAGAAGAACAGCACCTCACATTTTAAATTTCTACTCCTCCACTCAAACAAGCGATTTAAAAGCACTTCCATAAAGGACATGTCTACCAAGTAATTGGTTAGGGTTTGAGAAGGTTGAACACTTTTTTCATTTCCCGTTAGGGTCTAGACAATTTGAGAGCTAGATGTAGGAGCCAGATGGATGCACAGCAGCAGCTTTAATATCCAAGTTACAGGGATGCCTTGTTAGCCTGGCAACAAACATGCGGTTTCTTATTCTTTTTCCCCGGAACTGGATTGGTTCACTGAGTTGTTCGCCTAGCAGATGGAGCTCTGCCAGTCTCACATTGGGACTGTGTTAGCTTGGGCCCTCAAAGAAACACACCCAAAGATGAGATTAGACATGCAAAATATTTATTGGGGAAAACACTTGTAAGGAAAATGGGGGGCGTTGTCAGACAGTGACGCAGGTGAAGAAGAGTGGGACAGAGGGTTGGGCGGAAGCATCTCAGACAGTGCTGCTGTAAGGAAAATTCTCGAGCTGAAGGTCCCTCCCAGAGGAGTCCAAGTCTCCCAGGAATGGGCCCGCCTTAGGATCCTGTGGCACTCAGTCATTGGCCAAGAGTAGCCGTGGGAAGAGTGACCTCAGCTTGGTTTCAGGACAAAGCAGCTTGGGCCATCATTCAATTACCCTCCCAGAGGAAAACTGATCTGAGAGGCGTGTTCTCCTGGCTGCCACGGGTGCTCAAATGTTCCTCCGACACTTTCCTTCCAGAGCCGCAGAGAATATCCGCCTGACCTGTAGCAAATTGGAGGAAACAGCTAACAAGCAACTTTCTTCTGTAGTAAGGAGTTAGGGTCCTAGGAGCCACACACAGCAACTGATTTTATCGTCTTACAGTCACTGTTAATATGTGTGTGTGGTGTATGTACATATAGATATAGATTTGTCACTATGGTACATTCTCGGGATTAAGCAACTAACGAACAATCAACAAGTATGCATGTACACTTCTGCATCTAGTGTTAAAGGAGCCACAAGAAAAATATATAGAATGTGGTCCTTCCCAAAAGCTGCAACAAAATAAAAACATAATGTGATAGGAAATTTAAAATACTTTCTAAAGAAGGAGGGAAGAGCCGGGCCCCTTCTGTTGCTCCATCTCAGCCCACCCATATTCAAAGAGGTTTTGCTTATATCAGTTTCAGTTTGTTTATGCTTCTCAGAGACGTCACTGGAACAAAGGCTGGCAGCCAGGGCAGCCCCAAGCAAAAATTTGAAAACTCCTAGACTGAGGCATTGTTAGAGCCAGCTACGCACTAACATTCTACAAATCTTTGCTGTTCAGGCATATCATGACCACATAGTATCAAATTGAATTTGATCCTGTAGGATGCTTGTCTTGGAAACATGAATCCTTCCAACTAGTGGTAATTTTTATTGGTAATCAGACACTGAACAGTACTCTAATGTTTTCTAAGTCATGTGGAAATTGCTTGTTTTCTTTTTCCAACTTTATTCACCATTCCTCGACAAACTTCAGGATATCTTCTTAAAACTCTGAGGGTATCTCAACAGCTTAAGAAAAAAAATTACTCTGCTAGAATTACACTCTTATATTATCTGGCTTTACTTTTTTTCATGTCCATGACCCAGAGAGACCAAATTTCTTTTTCACTGAGCTGAATCTCCTTTCCTTTCTCTTCAGGGTGCTCCTCCTACCTCAGATGAGGAGAAGAAGCCAATTCCAGGAGCAAAGAAACTTCCAGGACCTGCGGTCAACCTGTCGGAGATCCAGAATATTAAAAGTGAACTGAAATATGTCCCCAAAGCTGAACAGTAGTTGGAAGAAAAAAGGTGAGTAAAAAGTTATTTTCTTTGTCTCAAAAAGATGGGATGGTTTAAGGAAACCTTCCATGGGAGGAGTCTGGAATTCCAGAAGCATTTAAGTATCAGGGCTTTCAATTTAGACCAGTATTTCAGGTGCAGAGGTTTTCTGGCATGTAAAGCTGAGCTTTGGGGCCTGTTTGATTCTGTAACCAGTCAGAGAGCTACTGAAGATGCTCACCTGCTGTCCTCTTTCTGGTCACCTTCTTAGCTGGGGAAAGACAGGGCTGGGAGAGGAAAGATGCATCAGAGGGGGTATTGAAGAGCATTTCATCTTGGGGTCCAGGGTACACTCCCTTATTTCATGCCTCAGTTTTCTCACCCAGGTGCCAGCAAGAGCAGTGAGCTATTTCTGTGTGGAGGATCAGAGGAGCAAGGGGCTGAGGAGATTTAGAGATGTAAAGAGGGTAGAGACCAGGAGTTGAGGCCTTGAAACCAGTAACCCTTTTGAGTAAGAGGCAGACGAAGAGGACTCGGTAATAACTCTGAATGTGGACGAGAGAAGGGTAGGCTCAAAACTCTATCTGCCACTCACCAAGGCACTTCAAGCAGGGCCTGTGACCTTGTTTTCATTTTAATTGGATTTGGTCAATAAGGATCCCCTAGTGAAGGTTAAGCTTTGTCCTGCATTTGCAGACCTGACACCTGCTGACTGGTTTGGGAATTCTGCCAGCAGGGGGCAGGTGGAATTGGCCCAAGTCATTCCTCTGTCTCCTATGAGACAATGACAGGAAATCTACTTTATCCAACATTACCGGATCCCACCATGCACAGTCTGTTGCATTTTTAAGCAGTTTAGGTTTAGAGGAGAGGAAAGTATACTGTGAACATAAAACAGGTATTTATCTTGCTGATTGTCCATTCATTTGTTTGTTCATCCACTCATTTATTCAAACAATATTTATGATTGTCTCCTATGTGCTGAACACTAGAAACATTTAATCATTTACCATATGCCAGATACTGTGTGAAGAGCATTATATCCACTGTTTCTGTTAAGCCTCATGATACCCAATTATTGCTCCCATTCCTGACATGAGTCATAGAGACGCTGATTTCCCCATCTATCGTGTATCCTCAAAAGGGGCCTGACTTCAAAGTTAGTGCTATCACCTACTTGTTATACTGCTTCACCCCTTCTTCCCACTGCACTTTACAGAAGGATTCACACTCTCTGTGGGTGTCAGGGTGAGATCTTCTGACCACATAGATGATGAAAGCGGGCACAGCAGTGGGGCGCTGCTCTGCCTTCTCTTGTAGAGATAATGAAGAACAGAAATGTTCTGTGTCACAACTCTATGAATAATGGCAATGTTACTTGTGCCACACTTATGCAGACTTTCTAGGATATTTGCAAGTTAGTTCTACTGAAAGAATTTCCTTATAATGTAGACAGACAGGAGGCATTTTGGGTTAAAATAACAAAACAGTATCTAGTGTTTTCAATACAGTTGCATGAAAGGACAAAAGAGTAAGAATAAAACACAAGGAATTGTATGACAATAGAAATGAATCACAGGAACCTGGAGAGGACAAAGTGACATTAGCAGGAACTGATCTGAAGCGTGGCTTCTTATTATTTATGACAGAATGCAACCAACTGATGACAGAGCATCATTATACTCAGTCCTGCTTGTGTTGCCAAGCTGAGCTGAAATATTCCAATATGCTTGGGATGAAGCTACAGAACTTTCTCGTAAGAAGGCCCAGAGAAGGGAAATCAATTTTTTGTTAATATTTATTATCATCACCCAACCTAAGCTGTTCAGTTATACAAGTGAATTTTTAATGCACACTTTAAAGGGTTTTTGCTTTTATGAAATTCATGTCGACCTAAATTTAACTTCGGTTTTAGTTTCAGAAGAACTTGGTTTTGAAGAATCAAAGGAAACCTGTTTTAAAATTAGCTCCGAGATGATCTTGCAGTGTTATCCAGCACTGAGGATGATTTCGTAGTCTCGAATCTATGGTTACAGTAACGGGGAACAATATACACTCAATAAAATATAAAAAATGTACCAGAACAACTTTTTTTTTTGTTATTTGATTTTCTCAGAGAGGAATTTAGTGATTCTTCTGTCCTGAATATATTCTAATAATGCAAAGCCACTTAGGCCGATTTGTCCTTATTCTACAGGAATGTGGAAACTTAAGTTGTCAGAGTAATTGATCTGAATGCCAAGTGAGTACAACATTGTTTTAAGCCAAGGAATGATTTTTATTTCTTGTAGAAGTATTAAGCTGGTTTGCCTTTGACTCATCAATTCTTCTTCTGCAAATAAGTCAGATTATGAGACTTCCATGGTCATGGTTTGTGTTTAGAGAGGGAGAGCACTTCTTTACATTGACTGATTCAATGAACTCATAAGCAATACATACCCTAGACCAGACATCATTTAGCCCTTCACTGGTTGGACTTATTTCCTCCTTCTTGGGCCACCACTTTGTCACCTATCCTCACCATCTGTTGTTCAATGATTTGATTGTTCATTGTTTAAAGATTGAGTGAACAAGTCCATAGTGCCAAACACTGGTAAAACTACAAGATCCAAGGCTCAGAGTCCAGATTATACCTATTATAGTACTTTAGACATATAAGATGGAGTAGCATCTCCTTCCAGCCAAGATAAGTACCTCTTTTTAAGTGAGGTTTTAGATTATTTCCATGCTCTGTGTCATGGCTAGAACTGTTTGTAGAAATCAATTAAAAACATGGGACAAGAACCAGAAATACCAATGGACTAGACAGTTAGGAATCAGGACTCATGGCTCGTGGCAAAGGACTTATTGCTTGGACCCAATCAGGAACCAGAACCAGGCCACATGGAGACAGAACACACTGAGTCAAGACCAAGAGACAGGGTTATCCCAAATGGGGTTCCAGACCAGGCTGGAACAGGCACAGGGCAGGGAAGGAAGGGTGTTTTAGCCACATACCTCTCAGGATTCTCCTGGCTGTGATTTAAGGTGGTCAGATGGTGATTTAAGCAAGTCCAGATGAAGAGATAGTGCCAGTGGCAATGCTGGAAAACCAAGAGCCCTCCGATGCTCCCATGCTTGCTGTTTGTTGCATGATCAGGAATCCCTCATGTTTACCATCAGAAGCCACTGTTGACTTGTTTGCTTATAGCTACAGTAGATGCTAACTCAGACCTCATAAAAAGGACTCTGGAGAACATGGAGAACTGCTAAGAGCTGTTGTCTAATAGACTCTGTGTCCACTTCTGCCCTCTCCTAACCTTCATAACAGATCACAGGCAGCCAGTAAAGAACCTCTGTAACTAGCTTCTGTATCATAGACTCCTTCTTCATTCCATGTGAAGATATATAGATGTCAAAGTGGGTCCCTGCTCTCAGGATACTTAAGTCTTGGTAGAAAAATAAAATAAAATACTTCAAAAGGTAGATAATTCAAGAAATAGCAACTCAGTGATTCAAGGTATCCCACAACAGTTTATGGCCCACTAACACATAGACAGTTGAGTTAAACAATGTTATGACTTAAGAGAGGAGGACCTCATGATGATTTGGGGTGATGGATAATTTTGAGGATGTGATGGGAATGGAAGGGTTTTAAACATAGGCTCAGAGATAGCTGGATGTATGGTATGTCCAGATCATCACTGGGGTACCAGCTAGGTGAGACCAACCAGTTCCTCTAGGGCAATACTTAAACTTTTGGGGAAGAGCAAAACAAGATGCCACGACATGCCCTCACCATCCTTCTCTTTTTCCAATGATAAAAGAATTCAGTGATAATAAATTGGAGAGCAACAAAATAAACATCAAAGTGGTAGCTATGCAGTAATTACAGGCAAAATGATTAACTAAGGTAAACCATAGGAACAATTCTACAATTATATTAATGAACATAAAAATAGCAGCAATTGAAAGCCTTGGGACTGATGAGGCACTAGAAAGAAATTGTCATTCTGAAGTTTCAGGAATTCCTCCTATCTGTGTTGGACATTGCAGCATGGCCAAATGTTGTGTGGCAGCCAGACTTCATGATTATGTACTAGACCATGGTTTCAGAAAGTGCAAAATTTTAGTGATTCTTACTAAATCACTCAGTAGCTTTTGGCCATGTATAAAAGAGAAAAATCTATGGAATTAATTACCATTTGCCTTTAAGAACTGAGGAAAACTTGCATTTTTGTATCAGGAAGTCTTCTGGGGATACACAGTGGGTGTTGGACCATATTTTGAGAAATTTCTATAGGTCAATAAGTGAGATTGAGTTAGAATGATCTACAACTCCTGTGTACCCCCACACAGTCCCATGCTCTCAAGTGAGCCTCCATTCCATACCCCACATCAGCCAATCAGCCCTGAATCTGTATTCTGTCAATCTGAAAAGGACCATTATAATGGCCTGTTGGGGAAGGTGTGCTTTCTCTCTCGAGCAATCTGCCTCATCCCTAGCATCTTCTGTTCATGCTGTCACAATATTTACCATAGTGATATATTGGTTTTCTTGTTTATATGTTCTTCATAATGCCAGAATATAGCACCTTAAAGCCTGGGGAACCTCTTGAGCACACAAGTTATGTCTGTAGAATGTTACTGGTGCCTTGACACAGCAAGTCTGATGTCCCTGAGGAATGTGTTCTTGTAGATAGACTTCCTAAGTACTTGTATTCTCAGGGAGAGTACTACTTTAAAGCAAGACTAGCTTTTCTTTCAAGGGCTGAAGGTAAGCTTGTTGATCATGATCAGTAAAGGGCTCAGAAGTATGACTTTAATTCATTGATAATAATTTTGTTCTTCTGGAAAAATGAAAAGTTATGGAAAATGTCAAGTTTGACTCATATTCCTCAAAAGGGGATAAAAACCTGTAAAAGCATTTAATCACTTCATTTTCAAGAATTCTTTGACTTTATTTTTTAAAGAACATTTATGTCCAGATTAGACATATTTACCAACCAGTAATCCACAGAGATTCCATCTCTGATCAAGGAGAACTTAAG